GCCACCTCTCTTCAGTGACTCGGCGATCATAACCGATGGGATGCCGCAATCCACCGTCTTCGCGCGTAACAGACACAGCAGCATCGAGACGGCCAAGCGTGCTCACCGGCGGTATTGTGTTTGCAGCTGCTGTGTCCGCCCAGCTCATGTCCGCTGCCGTCGCTCCCATCGCTGCTGTGGGTCCGTTGCCGTTGCCGTATCCACCGCCGCTGTCAGGCCCACAGCTGCCACTATCGTTACAGCCGACGTGACGTACATTTTCAGAGTGCGATGTCGAATAGACCGAAGATTTTGCTGCTAAGTGCGGGGGGGGGGGGCTGTCACATCACGCTGGCTGTTTTCCTGTCTGTGTCTTACGAGTTGCGACTGGCCGCTGCCGTCTCTCGGTTACTTTGATTAGAAATCAGTATCCCTCACCTCTCCACACTGCACTTATCCTGCTCCAATGTGATGTTCACATACATTGGAGGGTGGAACTCGCCACTGCTCTTTGATGTTCAGCGCCATAAGATTGACTTCTTACTCTTTGATGTGTTACTTTATTTTAATAATGATTTGAAAACTACACTTCACCGGTAGCACAAATAATGCCATGTGTTATCTGCTACCCGCCCTCATGATATTTTTGCAAAGAATAAAAAATGTGCTCATCGATCAATGTATGTTTAACCGTATCGAATTCACATGGATGTTTTTGAGAATAAAATGTCCGTAGCCTGAGCTCATTTCCTATATCGTGCTAAACATTCATCAAGATCAAGGTTTTTTGATAAATTAACACTGGGCCGCAAATCGCATTAATTGGATTTTATGACAAATCAGCGAAACCTAGTTTTTATACTCGTATTTTGCAGCACCTAGTAAATTATGCATGAACATGACGTTACTTTTTAGACTGACGCCCCTGTCGCGAGCTGACAATGGCGCCCCTCTCAAGGGAAAAAGTCGCCCCCTCGAGCACCATGGCCCCCCTTTCGCTGATTTCTGGATACGCCACTGCTTACACAGCTTCGTCTTTAAGTCCGTTCACTGTGGGAACTGGTTCAATCTTGCTGAGCTCCTCCTTCATGATTCCCCATAGGTTTTCAATTGGGATTAGGACAGAGCCAGAGGAATCGATTTGACCTTCTACTTCATTCCAGTCTTCACCATAACTTCAGCGCGATGACGCTTTGTCAAAGAATTTCTTTCGTCACAGTAGACACCACGTTCAGGTGTGATTTACACCTGCCAAACACTGGCCCCTGGCGCCTCGCAAGTGTCAAGGTCAGGTGACCGGGCTAGGTCATGTGACAGACAGACAGCTGTGGATAGCCTTAGGCACGGTTTTAGCAATTTTCAACAGTTCTTAAAGCGCACAGTGGGATTATAGCTGAATGAACAAGGGGCAAATAATTTCAGGACACCCTAGGTAAGGCTAGGTCAGGTTAGATTATGTTTTGTTCTATAAGATTTTTTTATTGGAGACTTTTATAATTGAAATTCGTGAAAATATCTCGAGAGCTGAAGAGTCTAGCGAGTAGCAACTTTTCATAAATGGGTGGCAGCATATGATACGTCTGCTATATGAATACCCGATCCACGCTTTTGACGATACCTACATCTCACCATTAATCACGGGCGTAGGAACGTCATGAAAAGTGGGTGGGCCACCCTGTCAAGCGGCCTCCTTTTCCAGGGGGCCTCCTATTTTCAGGGGCCTCCACTTTTGCCTCATCCTGCTGGCTGCTTTCAAGTATGACCTCCAAATCTAGCTTCTGAGATCAGGCAGATGTACCCAGGGGCGTAACCGCTAAAGCAAACTGTGCGGAAAGTCCGCACCATTTTTAAAACTTCTTCCCCCTCCGATTTTTTTAGAATCTATTTGCCGCAAACGGCGCATGACCCCTGAAAACCCTTACACAAATGTCTTTCTCGTTTCCCAGGTGCCCCCACTAGCTTCATAGGCGCCCTCTTTGGCATATAAGCGCCCTATGTGCCTATAGTCATCAGAGACATCCCTATATGTCCCACAGTCGCCCCGTTGTCGCATACAGGGTGACACAAAAAAAAAACGGTCATCACCAAATTTCGAATAACTTCGGAAGTCTTATTCAGATCATCACCAAAATTCGGCCACTTAAGGTCACACCTATGTAGCATACATCCACCAAGTTTCAAGTCTTCACTACGAATACTTTTAGTACAGTGTGTGTTTTACTGACGCTCCACAATGTGCTCCAGGTGAGCGCCACGGCGCTGCAGGGCGTAGGCACACTTGCATCCGGCGGGCAAAGTTGTCGATAACCCGATGGCTGTGCACTTTACAGAGTGCAATGGCCTCTGGAGACAGTGCTCAGGGGGTATGCTACCCCTGAAACGTTATTGTTATCGGGTTATCGGCAACTTTGCCCGCCGGATGCAGGTGTGCCTACGCCCTGCAGCGCCGGGGCGCTCACCTGGAGCACATTGTGGAGCGTCCGTAAAACACACACTGTACTAAAAGTATTCGTAGTGAAGACTTGAAACTTGGTGGATGTCTGCTACATAGGTGTGACCTAAAGTGGCCGAAGTTTGGTGATGATCTGAATAAAACTTCCGAAGTTATTCGAATTTTGGTGATGACCGCTTTTTTGTGTCACCCTGTACAATGTGCGCTTATCATAGGCGTCTCTCTTTTATGGACACTTGAAGGCGCCTCTCTTTGCCATGCCGGCGCCCCTGTTTCTTATGAATGCACCCCCATGGCATTGATCAATTGCAATTTGCAGACCTCTATTGCATGTGGACGCCCATATATGTAGGCCTCAGAGGCGCCCCTCTTTCGCATTGAGGCGCCCCTATGGGCTTCATAGGCGCCCCTCTATTGCACGTAGGTGCCCTACTGTCTCAGAACCGCTCCCCTTTGGCATGCAGACGCCCATCTTTCGTACGGAGGAGCCGCTGTGGTTCTTAGAGACGGCATAGTGCTCCCAGATGCAGATGGGGCTCTCGGAGTCGACAGTGTGAGACCTTCAGTCGCTGATGGGTGCCCGCCAGATGTGGACCCTCGGAGACGCCGGTATGGGGCCCTCAGAGATGCCGGTATGTGGCCCTTAGAGACACCGGTGTGGAACCCTCAGATACTTCAGTGTGAAGCCCTTACAATTGCTGGTGTGGAGCTACGAATGCGCTGGCTTAATCCCTCAGAGGCCGGTACATGGACATTAGAGCCCAGTGAGAGTTTGTGTGGTGCCTTCAGTGGCCTTGTGGAGCCGTTAGACATCAACATGGTGCTCTCAGGAGCCGGTGAGTCCTCAGAGTCACCGGTGTGGGGCCTTCAGAGCACCGAGATACTGGTGTGGGGCCTTCAGAGGTGTCGGTGTGGGTCCTTCAGATGTACATATAGAGCCTTGAGATGCACAGGTGTGGTGGCCCACAGAGGCGCCGGTGTGGGGCCCCCAGAGCCACCGATATAGGGCCCTAAGAGACACTAGTATGACCCTCAAAGGCGCCGCTGTGTGGCGCTCATAAACACTGGTGTGCTGGAGCCATCACAGGCGGGTGGAGCCGTTAGAGGCCGGAAAGGGCCCTTAGATGCCTACAAGGAGCCTTCAGAAGCCGGCGTGGCACCCTTATGGGGATAAGCGTGTCTACTTAAAAGCCCTTGAGGTGCTCTCATGAGCTCTGTGGGGCCCTACCTAGCCGAAATATGGCCACGGCCAGTTGCCGCCGCATGGCTCTTCAGACTATCATTCTCAGGGGCCTCATCTGCCTAGTTTAAATAGAAGGGCCTCTCAGACCATCAGTCTCATGGGCCTCCTCTGGCTAGTATAAATAGAAGGGCCTGTTAGACCATCAATCCTAGGGGCCTCTTCTGGTTAGTATAAATAGAAGAGCCTCTCAGACCAATAATCTCAGAGGGCCCCTGTGGACAGTATAAATAAAAGGGCCTCTCAGACCATCAGTCCCGGGGGCCTCCCTAGAAAAGTGTAAATGTGGATAGAGGGCCCCCTCAGATTCATTACGAGTGGACCTCTCTGACTATCAGTCTCAGGGGCCTCTTGTGGCCAGTATGCATATAAGAGCCTCTCAGACCATCGGTCTCAGGGGCCTCTTCTGACTAGTGTGGATAGAGGGCCCTCCCAGACCACCGGTTTCAGGGGCCTCCAGTGGCCAGTTATATGAACAGAAGGGCCTTACAGCCATCAGCCTCGGGGGCCTCTTCTGACTGGTGTAAATATGAGGGCCTCTCATACCATCAGTCTCAGGGGCCTCCTCTGCCTAGTGTGAATATAAGGGCTTCCCAGGCCATCAGTCTCGGGGGACTCTTCTGACTGGTGCCGGATTGAGGGACCTCCCAGACCGAAAGTTTTGGGGGTCTCCTGTGGCCAGTATGAATAGAAGGGCCTCTCAGTCCATCAGTATCATGGGCGTCTTCTGCCTGGTGTGATTATAAGGGCCTCTCAGGTCATCAGTCTCAGGGGCCTCCTCTGACTACAGTGTAGATGGATAGGCCTCCCAGACCATCAGTCTCAGGGGCCTCTTCTGACTATTGAGGATAGAGGGGCCTCCTCTGACTAGTGAGGGTAGGGGGCCTCGGCTAGACCGCCAGTGTCAGGGGCCTATTCTGACTAGTGTGGATGGAGGGGCCTCCCAGACCAGTGTGGATATTGGGGCCTCCTCAGATACACTAGGGCCTCTCAGGCCATCAGTCTCAGGGGCTTCGACTGATAAGTATGAACAGAGGGCCTCCTTGGATCCATCACGGCCCCTTGGAGTCCGTGCGTGGGGATTCGTGGAACTTATTTTTACCGAGTTTGTTTATTCTGGAAGGTGACGACGTCCTCTCAAATCGAGACGAGGGGCCTCGAGCAAAAAGTGGGTGGGCCAAAACACATGGTTGGCCCCCCCACCTCGAAAAGTGGGTGGGCACTTGCCCACCTGGCCCCCCCTGTTCCTACGCCTATGCCATTAATAAATGGTGCTAGGTTTTGTTCGATTATAGTAGAACCTCACATTACTTCAGCGGTGACCTGTACCTGTGTGAAGTGCTTTCCGACTGGTCGAACGAACTTGTAGTGTCGAAGCGCGAGCTCGTTGCCTAGCAGCTGTGCAGATATGTCGCGACGCAGCAGGCTCAGATTGGAGTCCGGATGTATCCTGGCGGTCAAAATGTGAACGTCAGCTTGGTGTAGCGGCCACCAGGCGTTCAGCGTGACGGGTGCGGTTAGTTTTTTTTTTCACATCAGTTTTTCGTTTTGGCGCGATTTTTACCATTTTTGGTGCATACTGCATTTCACTTATTTAGTTTAGCGCAAGCCTACGTAAACCTGGTTGAACGCTCCGGTAAAAAGTTGGAAACATTAAATTAGCTGCGGCATTCCCTGATGACGCGAATGTGGGTCAAGCGGCCGGCGGCCGGCCGCCGCTAGCAGTGTGAGGAGGATCGCATGGAACTTTTGATTGTTGGTTGGTGCTTGCCCTTGGCCGTTAAACGTTAATATTATGGTACGTAGGTACATAACGAAAGTATATCGAACGGAATTTCAAACTTGCAGTTTTTAGATTCTAAGGGGCTAATGCATTGGAATGCCCCCTTAGAATTTGTGACGTCAGCGGAGATCTAACGATTTTTAAATCTTAGACTAAAGCCATCGTTAACACGTGGTGGTATACGCTGCTTTGCGCGCAACGTCTGCCGCACTTCAAGGCTGCCAAATTATTGCTTCCAAATAAAGACAGTACTAAATCGTCACACGACTGTTTAACGACTTCAGTAATAAATCGCCACACGACTGCTTAACACGACAAAAATGACAAGGACTTCCTTACGCCTAGCGACCGTCAACGTTAACGGACTAAGGCAAAACAGGCAAACAGCGCCAAAAAGACGTAAAATGTTCACTTGGTTTAAGAAAATGAATCTAGACATGGTATTCTTGCAAGAAACCCATGCAGATGAAAATTGCGAAAGAAATTGGTTAAATGAATGGGGTGGAGAAGGCTATTTCGCAAACGGAACTGATTTTAGTAGAGGAGTAGCGATATTTTTGTAGCCGGGGTTCAGCGTGAAAGTAATTCAGGTGCATAGAGACCCGGCAGGCAGATACATCTTGCTTGAAATAATGATGCAAGGCGTTAAGCTCATACTGGGTAACGTATACGGTGCCAATGCCGACGAGCCGTCTACGTTTGAAAGAATGTGCCAAACACTCAGTTTGTTGACTAGCGATTACATAGTCTTTGGGGGGAGACTAACTTCTGCATGAACACTAACGTTGATCGAAAATCGGTAAGGAAGTGCCCGCAAAACAACCGTAAATGTAGAGATGTGATTATGGAATTCGCGAGCGAGCATGAACTAATAGACATCTGGAGAGTTAATCAGCAATTAACCCTTAAGCAATTTACTTATACTAGAAGTTCACCTCCTTCAGAATCACCAATAGATTTCTTTTTATGTAGTAAAGCTCTCACGTATAGCAAAAATGGAGCTCAGGCAGAAATAGTAAACGGCTATCTCACCGATCACAGTTTAGTTAGTCTAGATTTAGAAATAAATGGTTGCGAGCGTGGCCACTCGTACTGGAAATTTAATAATTATAGCCTGTTAAAAGGAGACAATTTTTTGGAGCTTATAAAAAGGCGCATTCCGCAAATTATAGTAGAAAATTGTCGTTCTGGCCTTTCACCGGGTCTTCTTGATACGCTTTTAGTAGTACTACGGGGAGATATCATTTCGTACGCAAGTCGAAGAAAAAAAGAATTAGTTGGGGAATTTGACACACTCCAATTAGAGATAGTCGCAATATCACAATTGTCATCACCCACAGCGGCACAAACCGCCAGGCTCCAGGAGGCGGTGGCTGAGAGAGACGAGCTGATTACGAAATGTACCCATGTCAAAGCAAGAGTTAGATGGAGACGGGAAGGGGAAAGAGGTACACAATATTTCCACGCGTTAAAACACCGTAACAAGCCGCCCAACACGCTTAACTCCTTAAGTTTACTGAACTCCAAAGAGGACGTCAGATTTCCGGAAAAAATAGAAGACATGCTCGAAGAAGGTAGAACATATTTTGAAAAAAGTATAAAAAATCCGACGTTAGAGACAATGGCAGAGAAACGGTCTTCTTTAACCACACAGTCAAGCTTGGACCAGAAGAAAGAGGGCTGTGCGAAGGTCCTCTGAACTATGTCGAGTCGAGTCGAGTCGAGTCGAGTCGGAGCTATGCACTGCACTTCTTTCGCTGAAAAATTGTCACCAGGTCCTGCAGGATATACAGTAGAATTTTACAAATGTTTTGGCAAGAATTAAAACAAGTAGTGGTAAGTGCTCTACAAGAGATCCAGAACACTGGAAGCGCAACAGCAGATTAAAAAAAGTCTGTAACGATTTTGATTCCAAAAAAGAATAAGGACCCACGCTTCATTAATCACCTCAGGCCAATAAGCCTTCTCGACGTGCCTTATTACGGAGCGAGCGAAGCGAGCGGAGTCTTCACTTAGATTAACGGAAATTTCTGAGTATGAGCGGCCGGCCGGCCGGCCGTGCGGACGCTTTTGCGAGGCTTATATCTCAGCAACCACTTGACCGATTTACATGCGGTAAATTTTGTAGGGTAGCTTCATTCCTTCTACCAAGTATTGGACTATTCCCGATGCATGTGGGTGACCCCTTATGCACGTGCCACGTGCAAAACGAAGAGGTGTCAGTTTTGTAATTGTTGCAATATCTCGGTAACTACTTGGCCGATTGCGCTGAAAGTTGGCATGTAGGTAGGCACCCACTAGGCACTGCATATCCATGTGCCAGAGTTGGGGTGCTGCTGCACGTGCGCACGTGCAGGGGTCGTTTCCAGATCTCGAGAACGGCTCGACCGATTGCGCTCAAATTTGGTACACAGTTAGGGACCGGTTAGTAGGGTGCCGTGCACAAGTCAGTTGGGACCCATTTTGCACGTGCGCACGTGCAGGGTGCCGCTTCCAGATCTCGAGAACGGCTGGGCCGATTGTGCCCAAATTTGGCACATCGCTAGAGACCGGTTAGTAGGGTGCCGTGCACAAGTCAGTTGGAGGTACCCCCTCGCAATTTCGCACGTGCAAGGCTCACCCTCTCGCTCGCTCCGTGAGTCGCCCCAAAACGCGTTATACTGGTTACGGAGCGAGCGAAGCGAGCGTAGTCTTTACTTAGATTAACGGAAATTTCCGAGTATGAGCGGCCGGCCGGCCGGCCGGCCGTGCGGACGCTTTTGCGAGGCTTATGTCTCAGCAACCACTTGGCCGATTTACATGCGGTAATTTTTGTAGGGTAGCTTCATTCCTTTTACCAAGTATTGGACTATTCCCGATGCATTTGGGTGACCCCTTATGCACGTGCCACGCCCACGTGCAAAACGAAGAGGTGTCAGTTTTGTAATTGTTGCAATATCTCGGTAACTACTGGGCCGATTGCGCTGAAAGTTGGCATGTAGGTAGGCACCCACTAGGCACTGCAGATCCATGTGCCAGAGTTGGGGTGCTGCTGCACGTGCGCACGTGCAGGGGTCGTTTCCAGATCTCGAGAACGGCTCGACCGATTGCGCTCAAATTTGGTACACAGTTAGGGACCGGTTAGTAGGGTGCCGTGCACAAGTCAGTTGAGACCCATTTTGCACGTGCGCACGTGCAGGGTGCCGCTTCCAGATCTTGAGAACGGCTAGGCCGATTGTGCCTAAATTTGGCACATCGCTAGAGACCGGTTAGTAGGGTGCCGAGCACAAGTCAGTTGGAGGTAGCCCCTCGCAATTTTGCACGTGCAAGGTCCACCCTCTCGCTCGCTCCGTTAGTCGCCCCAAAAGGCGTTATACTGGTAAAATATTTACCAAAGCCATCGCGACGCCTTTGGGGTGAGTCATCAAAACTTGCATAATTGCATTAACGGTGATCAAACAGGGTCTGTAAAGGGGAGATTTATTGGGGAAAACGTCCGACTAATCTTAGACGTAATAGAACATTGCAACAATTAAGACAAACTCGGGTTACTTCTTGCATGCGATTTCAAAAAGCATACGATACTATTGACTGGGAATACGTTATAAGCACTCTAAAATGTTTCGGTTTCGGTCCAGATTTGGTGAAACTGGTCTCCAGCCTATATGACGGTTTAAATGAAGACCACGCACCGCTTGCAGTGGTCCAGATAAATGGTCATCTGTCAAAGGCATACTCAGTGCGAAGAGGCTTAAGGCAGGGGTGTCCGTTAAGCTGCTACTTATTCTTGCTGTGCCTTGAACCACTTCTGGCAAAAATAAGAGCAACAGAAACTGCTAAGGGGCTGCGAATAGGCAACTCGGAGATCAAATTAACAGCGCATGCTGACGGCGTCACTTTGGTATTGGACGGCTCCGAAGCCTCGTTGGAAGCAGCCATATCGCTGTTCGAAGATTTTAAATCAATTTCAGGGCTGGAGCTAAATAGGATTTTTTATTTTCAAAAGTACATGGTGATTACAGGGACGGTCGAACACTTAAAAGACGATGTAAAACGGGGACAACTGTCATGCCCAGCCGTTAGAGAGAGACCATGCACAAGATAACAACAAGCCAATAGTAACAGACCCCGCAGGGTCACCATGGCGGTCGGCCACACACCCCGGGCAAGGCTGGCGGGAGGATCGGGGAGGGGGAGGAGGGAGGCGGCAGTGGGGGGAGGCACCACGGCGTGCCGGCGCACAGTGTGGCCAAACGCCAGATTAGCGCGAATTTAATCAAAAAACGAAATTTGGAATTTTGACTTTTTATAACTATCAGTCGATAGGAAATTGTCCAAAGTATGTCAATATCACAATACTTTGGTTCAATGTCTTCCTTTCGGTGTCCAAAAAGCTAGCTAAAGTGGACATACGCAATGCCGGTCCCGGCCGTGCTGAAATCGTCGAAAACCCGCGTCATGTTTACAACACATGTTGGCGTAATTGTCGGAAAGGTTTGGAAATAATTGGAGTGGCATATGACTACTGAGGCTATATTTGATAGTATACCCGAATTCTATAGGTATCCTTGGACTAACCGATGAGTTATGCTCATTTGAAAATGAACTTTTCAAACATCCCCTGAAAACACTGTCCATCTTAAAAACGTAGAGATATAAGAAAATAGCCAAAAAACTCCACGCCAAAT